AAGAAACGCACTTACCACGTGGAGACTGAAACCCACACTACTGGAGGACAGTTGGATCAATGAGGAGATCAAAGAAGAAATTTAAAAATACTTGGAGAAGCATGACAATGATGACACAAGTCTCCAAAACTTATGGGACACATTAAAAGCAGTTATAAGAGGAAAATATATAGCAATACAGGCTCACATAAAGAAACAAGAAATAACTCAAAGAAACAATCTAGTCTCCCACCTTAAAGAACTGGAAAAGAACAACAAAGTAACCCAAAAAGCCAGTAGAAGACAGGAAATAATAAAAGTCAAATCAGAAATAAATGAAATGGAAGTTAGGAAAACAGTCCAAAAAATCAGTGAAACCAAAAGTTGGTTCTTTAAAAAAAAAAAATAAACAAAATAGGCCACTAGCCAGGCTCACAAAGAAAAAACAAGAGAAAGCACAAATAAATAGAATCATAAATGAAAGAGGAAAAAATCATAACAGATCCAGCAGAAATTAAAACAATAATCAGGGAATACTATGAGCAACTATATGTAAACAAGTTTGACAATTTAGCAGAAATGGACAAATTCCTACAACTCTACAACTACCTAAAGTCAGGTAAAGAAGAGATAGAACAAATAAACAGGCCAATTACAAGCAAGGAAATTGAAGAAGTAATCAAAACCCTCCCCCAAAATAAAAGCCCAGGACCAGATGGATTTACAAATGAATTTTACCGAACGTTCAGAAAAGAAGTAGTGCCTATTCTACACAGACTCATCCAAAAATTCGAAAAAGAAGGAAAACTGCCACATACTTTCTACGAAGCTAATATCACACTAATACCAAAACCTAACAAGGAAACACAAAAAAAGAAAACTTCAGATCAATCTCCCTAATGAACACCAATGCAAAAATCCTCAACAAAATCTTAGCCAACAGAATCCAACATTAAAAGAATAATACACCATGACCAAGTGGGCTTTATATCAAAACCAAGTGGTTCAACATCAGAAAATCAAGTAATGCAATCTATCACATCAACCGACAGAAGAATAAAAACCACATAATCATATCAATAAATGCAGAGAAAACATTCAACAAAGTTCAACACCCATTTATGTTTAAGGCCCTCGATACCCTCGGAAAAGAAGGAACATACCTCAACATGATAAAAGCCATATATGACAAACTCACAACCAATATTATATCAATGGAGAAAAGCTGAAAGCCTTTTTTTTGAGATCAGGAACAAGACAAGGGTGTCCACTATCGCCACTGCTCTTCAACATAACATTGGAAGTCAGCCAGAGCAATAGACAGGAAAAAGGCATACAAGGAATCCAAATAGGGAAAGAAGAAGTAAAACTGTTCTTATTTGCCGATGACATGTTAATTTACATGGAAAACCCTAAAAACTGCACAGAGAAATTAATATCATCAACCAGTTTAGCAAGGTAGCAGGATATAAAATCAACACACAAAAGTCAGAGGCCTT